AATAAATAGATATACTACCTAGGAGACGGCTTTAGGCCGTAGAATGACTTCTTCGACTTGTAGACATCGTCCTCATTGCCTTTAACAACAAACCCTTCTAGTTGAGTCATATAAAATTATTATTCCAACTCTCCATGAAGGAATGCGGTCATCACATCAAGTGCCACATGTGGAGCTAGATCCATGGTCCTACATGTGTTATTTTAAAGTTCTGTAAATTTTCAGAAATACCCAAATAGAAGTGTGTTTCACAACTAGAGAGAAAATTTCATTATAGTCGACACTTCTTTCTGCGCATAGCCTATTGCAGCCAAATGTGTTCCTAAAAAGTTAAGAAAAATGTATAAGATTGTACATACCACTTTTTGGGGGGTTGTTTTTCTCTATCTATTGATTTTTTTTGTAGAGAGGACACGCTAGAAAAGAAAGGGAAAGTTGGGTATTTAGCGAGAGAAAATAGTAGAAAGAGACAATTGGGAGATATGATTTTCTCTCTTGTACTCTTAGGTATGAGTCGCTTGTAATTTTTTTCTCATTGATAAGTAAAAACCCGTCGATCGTCTTCGCCCGTGGATGTAATCACATCTATGATGAACTACTTAAAAACTGGTGTTCTTTATGCATTATTTATTTCCTGCTTTATTTTTCGTGCTTGTTGCATGCTTGTTGTTGGTTCTATTTTTTCCACACTTTATTTGCCAATGTCGGGTTTTAGAGCTTTTGCGTGCAACAAGTAGTATTAGAGTCTGGCATACAGTTGTCGGTATGACAGTAAAGGTTATGAAAGCAAAGTTCAAGGTGGAGAAATTTGATGCTATGCAAAAAAATTTCAACAAGAATTGTCTAAGAAATTTATTTTGCAAAATGGGAAGATTTCATAAAGTTATCGGATGAATGTTCGAATGGCAAGCAAGTAATTTTTTATATCAAAGTGGAGATCGCTAGATTTTGTGATATCCAAAAGCAACTTCTCAACGAAATCCTTTATTATTGAGACTCATATTAATATTGATGATTTTCTATATTTATTGGGTTTTCAATTTAATTGTATAATTCTAATTATGTAAGAAGTTATCTTTTGGGCCAGTTCCATATGGTTTAGGATAGACTCAAGGGCTAAGAAACGATAAAGTTAAAGTTTCCCATAAAGTTGGGAAAAGATGGGAAGAGCCTCTCATGTACCACTCTATGGGCTTGTGCTTTTCCGTATAAGTGGGTTATTGTAGAGAAAGAATAGGTGTGACCCTATTTGGGTCACCTTATGGGAAATTGGACTTACCTCTAAAGAGAAGCTGTAGCCTCCTTCACAGAGGAGCCTCTGAAGAAGCTGAGAGAGAAGTGACCTTCTAGTGAGAGAAACGGTTTGCCTATGTCTCGCATTGAGAGAGACGTTTGTTTCGTGTAGAAAAATGGTTCCCATAAAGATTTTGGGTGGTATCCCCTTTGTAGAGAAAGTTGGTTTCTCATTGCTCTCGCATGTCTATCTGAAAAAGTAAAGAGCAGGCAGAACAATTGGTGATGTCAGTCGGGAGAGTGGTTTCAAGGGTTACTCAACTGTATATTGTCAATAAATCGATCATTACTAAGATACCTTTTGTATCCCAAAATTTGTAATGTAACTCTCATCAGTATGGTGGATTTTTGTTTGTCATGCCTGTGGATGTAGTCACTTGTGTGACGAACCATGTAAATTCCGGTTTTCTTTTTTGCATTTTTCTTCCGAGATCTATTTTTCTTGTTTGCTGCTCGTTTGTTTCCAATGCTATTTTTTCTCACACTTTATTTGCCAAATATCAATCCATCTGATTTTAGAGCTTCCATGAGCAACAGCACTATCCCCATTAGACGAAATATTTTTCTTCTCAAATGTATGCCTCGCTTTTATTTTATTTAAGAAATCTATTATGATTTGGTAGGTATTCTTGCAATTAAACTTGTCACAATGTGTTGTATCTCTGCACACCACAATAACTAAGCCAAGAGCCCAAAACTAGACAAGGGAAAACAAAACCACAAAGCCTGCTGAATTCCAAAAGTTCTTAAATCACAATTATTTTCCATCAAGTGTTGCACTATCCTAATTCCTTTCTCAATAGTATCCGTTTATGATTCAGTAACAGAAATGGGAGTGATCAGGTCATATGCACAACCATGAAACTTACTACTCTAATGATGTACACCTACAAGCCTCAACCACCATCATATAGACAGTAGTACAGCTGTTAGTTTTTATTACGTCTCGGTTGTATTGCACTTCAGCCAAAAACTCCAGTAAGCATGGAAGTAAAGCACTCGGTCACTAAGGCAAAAGGTTGTATGTTCAAGTTCCACGAGCCACAGATGTCAGATGTTTCACTAGCACCCATGCCTAGTAGACACATACAGACAGTTGTTGGGTTTTTGCGGCCATTTAAAGGCCTTAATTGAGCAAGTAACCAATTTTTACTATAGTGGAACAATGGACACCAATGAGAGTATGGTCCAGAGGGACCGAAGTTGGCAATATTGATGCCGAGACTCAAACTAGGTTGATGAGCTAGGACAATTGCGTTCTAAAACTCTAAGATAGCTCGGCGTTAGCAAGGTTACCCCTTGATAATGTCGAAGATGCCCAAAGTAGTTTGACAAGGGATTGTGTGACCCTTGAGTGTGAATAGTACGCATGAAGCGACAAATGTCAAATCCTCATCATAGACCATCACATGACATGTACATATGATAGCAGTATCGTGAAGCAAAGCACCCAATGTTATCAAATTCACTTTGCTTCGGCCAAAGAGGCCAAAGCTTTCCGATTTTAAGCCTAAACCGAAGCGAAGATAAGTGTGGTGTTGCCACTTCGGGTTGCTTCGAGTTTGCTTTGGCTGAAGCTTCAGGCTGCTTCGTCTCGGAAAGAAATACCTATATAAAAGTTATTTTTAGTTTTTAAAATTTTTTATTTTAAATTTTTTCCATTATTTTATATATCAATATCTAATTTATTTATATTAAATAAATAAATAAGTCTGAAGTCTTCCCCCAAAATCGCCAGAAACACTGAATTGCCTCATTTTTCTCACCAAACTAAAGAAGACTCGGAAGCAAATCTGACAACATTGAAACCACCATTGAGGGTGTTGCACGTACATGCGCGATAGATAACCCCCATGCACCAAATTGCGATGTGTGTGCACAAGCCTGTGTGACCAAGGCTTGCTGACTTTGGTAGCCCAATCATGAACACCTGTGATGGACTATGGGTCATGGGAACTACTGGGTCAATTTGAGAAAGTGATTGACATTTATGTCTCTAGTAGAAATGAAGTCCTTGAGTATTTTCGCATTTTCCTTAACAAAGTTGGATTCGAATCCCATCAAATTAATTTAGTAATAATTAATTTGATTATAAATGATTTTTAGATTAATAAAATAAATTTTTAGAAGTCTCTGGAAATTTTATTTTCTCAAAACTGATTTATAAATAGGCTTAAACTGATTTTTCAGATATTTAATTATTCAAAGAAAAAAATAAAATAGTAAATGTTTTCTAAAAATCATTTTCTTAATTTTAAAATTACTAATACACACGGGGGCCCATTATACTCCATGGGCCCTGTGTGGGGCCAACTAGCGCCCCATGGGTGGCACGCCCCACATAGTGCACCCTTCTTTCTTATTTTGTGGAATGCAAGTTGGCCACTCAATCAATTGAAATAAAATAAAGAAGGCTTTGCAATGAAAGATATTTTGACTTTTCAAACAGGCGTGTGTAGAAAATGAATGGAAATAAATGGAAAGAAGATACTCACCCAAAAAAAAGAAGATTATATTTTCCATATATCAAATATTTGATGGGATTAGGTTAAGGAAGCTGAAGAATAAGGTTCTAGCGCCTTCCATTAGATCATGATGGCTGATCTATGGATTGTAAGACTAAGATCTCTCACCCCACAAGTCTCCTATGATCAATTGTCCAAATCAAATCTCCATAAGGATGGCTAATCCTAAAAACCCTAACCCTAACCATAAGTTTATATATTGTCTCATTATGGCGGGTCCAAATCTCTACAATACAAGTTACATCTTTCTCTCTCTTCCCAAAAAGTGGCATGCCACTCTCTCTCATCTCTCTAGCCTCATCTCAGCCCCCTCTCCCATTCTTATAATAATTTTAGAAAAAAGAAAAGGGGGCACGCACCACTTACATAGATCAAGGGCCAAGGCCCTGAATTGTTCCATTGCCTTCATATTGCTTAAGGGTTTCTAGTCGGTGCTTCCCATAGTTGTGAGACCTAAAAAAGTCCTTGATCACATGCGTCATTGAAGGAAGAGACCCGGAATGGAGTGTATCAAGTCCAATTGAGGTAATCTTTTGCCACTTTATTTTATTTAGTGCAATTTATGTTAATTGTTCACAAGTCAATGTTTATGTAATTTTATTTATTCAATAAAGAGTTGTATTAAGTGGCAGCAAGTGAGAATCCTTATTTGTGCTTCTTTGTTCTTTTTGAGTTTATTTTGTAATCTTAATCTTTGTTCTTAATCTTTGGACCTTTGTAAATGTTCTAGCCGGTTGAGAAAAAGAAAAATTTTAAACTACATAAACCGTGCTACTTCACCCTATCCATCTTTCAAAAGTGTGCCATTTCCGTGTCAAGAAGCATCAACAAACGTGGAGGTGTTGGCATGCGACACCAGGGAAAAACCCAGGCGTCGGGTTCACACTGCCCTTAACTTAACAACACTACGATTGACAAGACCAATATACTGCATATGACGCTCTACAAACTCCACTTAACAAATGCAGTTATGTTTAGTTACCACCACTCAAAAGACTCACAATGATTTCAAGTGCTTCTCTATCTGCATTAGCAAATGGAAAACAGAGCAAGAACACTACTGCAGACAAAAGAACATTACAAAGCATGACCAGTATGGAAATCTGCAATAAAAAAGATAAATAAGACACGAAAAAACTACTTACTGCATTTCTGCAAATAAGTACCAAACAACTCACTAACCTGATGTCGCATCCAGAGCAAGATGTGGACTGGATGCTTGAGAAGCTTTTATGTTGTATGCCTTGAGAGCATCATCCCATCTCTGCAACTTCTCATACCTGTAAAAGGATCAGTAAACAATGTGTTTACCTTTATGAAGTCAGCAAAGGAGCCCATCTGATGAGTTATGGTCTGACTGCCCTTGATAGAGCAGAATGGCGGAACAGGATTCATGTAGTCAACCTCAAATGGTCGGAATAAGGCTTGGATGATAATGATGATGATGATGAAGATGAGTAAAGGAGGTCATCTCCAATCATTAGACATACTTAGTGACAGCAAGCTAACGATGTGGCAGGCAATATCTAAGTATAAGAGGAAAGGCAAGAGAAATGAAGCTCTAATATCACTATGCCTTTCGATAGGTGCAAACAGACACATGAATATTTTAGTCAAAAGAAAGAAAGCATTTCTCAGCACCGCTAAGTATTTAGGCCTACCATGACTCCTTTAATTGTACATCCAGATGTTGTTGTGCATAAGTCAAGATCCCAACAGCAGCCTAAACCAAGGAAATACATCTATCAAGTAGGAACAATATCCAGCATGTGTAATTCTCTTCGACATGCACTAGTAATCAATAAAAAACAAACTGTTGCAGAACAGACCTCATGCTGGTGTAGCTGATTATTTATATGAATAAGTGTTTCAACAACAGTAACAGGGTTGGCATCCATCTTGCTGCATGCATTTTCAAACTCCATTTCCTTGTAATGGAGTGCCTTTGCAAATGCTCGACACTGGATAAAACTAACACTTAAATTAATGAGGGTAATAAAAAGCATATCCAATAGTGTCCAGTTCCATAATAGAACAGAATCCAAATGACAAACAATCCTGGATAAGAAATCACCTTCTCTGCAAGAACACCTAGGAGTCGAATGTCTATTGGTAAAGGCTTTTCATCATGCTCCATAAACTCTGCCTGCAAAACCAGTTTTAAGGATCACTTGACCAAAATCTAAAGGCATCATAATTCATTATACACATCAAGGCACATGCAAGGTTGTTTCATAAGACAAAACAGGTTACCAAATTAAGGAGTGTAGCAAGAATTTCAGGAGGAATATTCGGTGATGAGAAAGCCATTTCAAGACTTCGAACTAACTGTTGTTGGTTAGCTTCATTCAATTGTGCCCAACAGCTCACAAACCCAGCAGCAAACAACTCGCGACCAACAAAAGGCTGCAGGAGTCGAATAACATAATTAAGAAATTTGAAACAGGATGCAATTTACAACTGCAGAATAGGTTCTTGCACCTGTAACTGTGCAAGCCTTGCACATGTACGTAGAGCTGGAGAAGGAGATTCTTTGAGCAGTTCAATGCTAAAATGTCGCATCCACTCTGCCCAATCTTCCTTAGTACTACGTTGGGAAGCCTCCCAAGCAATTCGCAATCGTCCATCATTAACCTGGTAGTTAAATAGGAATATCAAACACTTTGACGTGAGCAGATAACGAACCATAGGCAGAGCATACCATCAAAAAACACTAGAAATCAAAATCATGAGTAGGAATGCATCCCAACGATGCTAAATTCTGCAACACACACGAAGGCGCAAGCCCCGTGCACACACACAAATAAATGAGATCATTCAATCATACAATCTTTAATACCTGAGCGCCGTAGTAATTATGAATATCATATTCATCTATACTCAAGGATAGTATACTGGCCAAAAAATAAATCAGGTGCTCTAAAACAATGATGGAACAATATCCAAAATATGCATCCCATTATGTTCAATCATTGAAGACCAAAGAGCCAAATGAATACACTTGAAAGATGTTAAACTAAAGAAAGAAAGGCGGGATTATTGCATCAACAGATCACGACAGAATAATGAAAACAAGAAGATACGATTTGAAAGAATAGGCTTGACAAAATAATTCAAACGAAATCCAATGGAAGAAACCTTGAAACCTTAGCAGGATAAAATAGAAAGAATATTATCATGAGTAAATGGAAGAACATACATAAAAAACAATAAAACAAATTATCATGTGAGTAAATGGAAGAACATAAATAAAAAACAATTAAAACAAATTATCAGTTTTTTCCTTTTAAAGTCCACCATGGTTAATTAGTAAAAGGAGAGATGAATATATCAAAAATTTCATAAATATCAAGAGAAAGCAAAAAGGAATGGTAAATTACTTTGTAGTTTCTGGCCTGTCTTTGGGGCTCGACTCCATCCTCATATGGATCACTCTCCTTATCTTCCAGTGGATCACTGATCTCCTCCACAGGAAAACGGCGAACCAATTTTTGATAAGAGATACTGTCCAAAATGAGTGGCTCCTTTTTCTCCAAGCGAACCTCGATTTCTTTGAAATCCTTATGCTGAAAGCATAATGAAATATTTTGGTCATGCCAGATAAGTATTAAGAAAAAAAAAAAAAATTAAAGAAACACATGAGACAGGGCAATACGTAAGACCTGCAAGCGATACTTCAGTAAAAGTTTCCGTATTGAGGGTACAAATAGAGCAAAGTCTTCCCCAAGGGCATGCGCCAAGCAGCAAATGGCATCCACAGCATCCTTACGTAATTCATCATTATTCCTGCCCAGTATAATGTTCACAATTTAAGAAAACCATCAAATTCAGGAATGTTAGAAAATCAGTTGAAAAGAGGAAAGTAACGTGAGTAAAGGAAAGGACAACATGTCCGTGACATAACATGTCCATGACAACTACACAGACAGAATTACTATCAAAGCCATGAAGAATGAAACCAAAACACGGGTATGTATCATGAGCACAACCATCATGCATGCACAAGAAAATCACACCAAAAGTGTTCAACAATGGAAGGGGACTGTCCAAATTCAATTGGTGTGAAGGAAAGCACGCACTCATTATGTAGAGACTCACACATATCATTGAAGAAATATGTGAGCAGTATAATCAAAGGGAAAATGGCATCATCGATAAACAAGCTAGAGAGGCATTTGATTGATTGCGATACTGATAATCCAAATAAAGTGAGATACCCCTAACATTGACTCATTTGATTAGATTGGAGGTACAGCTAAGCATTTACATGGACATACTTCCTGTAGCTGTATAAGTTACACGATCAATGAAATTATGTTATACGATTCATAAAGAAAATGTCCTAGACTATCGAATCATAATCCAATGTTTCACAGAAACAACTCCAACAGAATTTGCACAATACCACGAAAAGCTCCAACAGGAAATCTGACAAGAAAGCAGCATACGCATCATAGCCACATTTCCTAACAGCCAGAAGTTCGCTTCAAGAATGATGCGCCCTCTTCATAATCTCAGCCCCACAGATCATGAATCAGATCATTTGAGGGATCATGTTTCAGTCTTTTCAGCTACAATTGCAACAGATAAGGTCTCGGTTGCATATGCATATGGCTGTGCTATATATTATACATAGATTAAACACTGCAACAGATAAAGGGTATATTGTATGCAGGGAGACATATGATGCATGAATACTAGAAAATGGACTATGTATTGGCATGTGATGCCCCAAACAAATATATACACCACGACGGACCAACGTTGAGTACATAACAATATAGCATTTTACGTACAAACTGTTTGGGTTTGTATGGACTTCAAAGCCAACATTCCAATTACGTACTTTTCTTTAATAAAATAGCATTTTACATACACACTGTTTGCTTTTGCATATTCATTACTGGCATCAACTTACAAAAGTTGTGCCACTGCCAGCGCAAGCATTTTCAAAAACTATGCTTACAAGGCAAAGACACTAAAAGGTATTGAGGAAAACTTTACAAAATTCCTAGAATGACACTGCTGCACAAAAAAATCCTCAAATAACAAAGGCTTCCCGAAACATCTATAGACAATGCACAAAACTTCCATATACCTCAGATTATGGGTGTTCAAAACATTCTCAGAAGTGATCTAGTTCTCTCGGTTGGCAGTGGTGACTTGGCTTTCACTCCTTCTCTTTCTAGGCTATCAGCTCTTTTCCTTAACCCTCTCCAAACGTGTTTAAACAGCACTGTGATATTAGAGGTTCTATTAAAACTCTGTGAGAAGGTTTCATCAAGTCTCCAAGGGTGGCCTTTGCATCTAAACGGCCAATATGGCCATAAATGATAGCCCATATTTTGTGGGCATTGTATTTTGAATATGAAATTCTTTTACAATCAATATAACATAGGTAAATTTTTAATCTGAAAGATCTTGTCAAAAATATTTGTTTTGAAGTTACAAATAGACTTGTCAAAACTTAAGGATATGCCATGAGAAGGTACAGCAAAGTGGAAAGACAAATCCGCATCTGTAGATGGTAGTAGCTTACTAGATGGGGGGACAGGCAATCACCCTTACAATTCTCATATGATGCAAAATGCATAGGAGGTCTCATGCAAGGGTTGGGACCTTATCTACTTTCCTTAAAACTAATTCAATCTTCATACAAGGCCTATAAATATATGTTCACTTTCATTAAATAGCTTATGCTGCATTCTGAGGGACTTCTGATAAAGATTGTCTCTGTTAAAAGTTGGCTCGTGAATAAAGATACAGAGATAGAGATGCAAGACCTAGGATAGAGAGATTTTTTTAGCATCACATGCACTTGAGAGTTGACCCATGGAACCAAAGGGCATGGAGCATCACAACCTTCAAGGCTAGCACAGTTGATCCATAGGTAAGGTAAATGAACCATGGTATAGCTGCATTACTGAAGAAAAAAATCGACATATGGGTGTTGGTATTACAGCCATTAACAAGCTCTCATCTCATTAGGTATTAGTGGATGCCTCCACATCTCATGATTCTCTGTGGGTCGCCATCTAGTTTTGACACATTTACCCATTTTGTTTTATTTTATTTTCCAAATCTCATTTTCCACCACCCACACAAACAAATAAACCCAAAAAGATGATATTTTAATGCTCAGGAACTATGCCCAGGCTCGGGACTTGGCCCTTGCCCTTGCCAAGTTACTCGGGAGATTCCACTACACTTGCCTTTGCTGACTTACTCGGGCAAGTATGAGTGAACTCAACCGAGTCCTGCCCGAGACCAAAAAAGGGCCCAAAAAATGATAAAAATTAAAAACTAAAAAAGAAAAATATAAAATTCCAAAAACAATATACTAAATCAGAAAATATAAATAAAACATGAAACAAAGAAATTTTTCATTTCATTGGCTTGTAAAACAAGGAAGTACAAAAAAGACTGCACTTTCCAAACCTTGAGTCGATAATCCAAGAAAATGGAGAGATTGAGGAAGATGTCACACAGATTTAGAGCTGAGTGGGCAAAGTGGAGATGTGCAACTGGAATTTATGTGATCGCCGCATACCAATGAAGCTGAAGGGTAAGTTCTATAGGACAGCTGTGAGTAGTGTTTTAAAAAACGACGAGTCGCAACAGACTTGCCCTAGTCAACACGGGAATCGGTCACCCTATGTCGATTTCACTAAAATACGCAGAGTTGCCCGGTTCTAGAGAAGAACCGACGAATCGCTAAAGTGAACCACCGAGTCTGCTACGGTGAACCGCCAAGTCTGCAAAGGAAATCGGTATTATAACATCATCAAACCGAGGGGAGGGCATTTTTGTAATTTAAAAAAAAATTGGGACAATAATGGCATTGTACAAGTATGGCCACGTACACACTCATGCTTTTCAAGCACGTGACAAAGATAGTACTGAGGAAGGTTTTATGAACATTAAACATCTTTCACCTTTTCGATGTGCGATTTGAGCATGGTATACAGTATAGGCTTGAAAAGGTAATACAATATAGGCTTCTATTATTAAAGATAGTACGAAAAGTGGCACTTTGGTTAGTCAGTTATCACGTCCATCTTCTAACCAAAAGGTCCCTAGTTCGAACCTTGGCAGCACCATCTTCTATTCTTTTGTCAAAAATAATAATAAAAGGTAATACAACAAGTATTTCTTGTCAAAAATAAAACATTTGTCAAAAATAAAATAAAAGGTAATACATCAACTATTTCTTGTCAAAAAATAAATAAAAGGTAATACAACAAGTTTACTTATTCTCTTTGTCAAAAAATAAAATAAAAGGTAATACAACAAGTATTTCTTGTCAAAAAATAACTGTCAAAAAAAAAAAAAAGGCAATACAACAAGTGTTTCTTGTCAATAAATAAATAAAAGGTAATACAACAAGTATTCTCATTCTTTTGGTAAAAAAATAAAAAATAAAAGATAATACAACAAGTATTTCTTGACAAAAAATAAATATTTTTCAAAAAATAAAAATAAAAGTACGAGTATTTCTTTTCAAAAAATAAATAAAAGATAATACAACAAGTCTTCTTATTCTTTTTGTCAAAAACAAAAATAAAAGGTAATGCAACAAGTATTTCTTGTCAAAAACAAAATAATAATGCAACAAAAATTTCTTGTCAAAAAATAAATAAGAGGTAATACAACAAGTATCATGCTTTTGAAGCACGCATTTGAGCTGTGATTATCGTAAGCTTGAAGCATGTTAGCTCTTTTTTCTCTCTCATATATGAATATGCCTGTTGTTAGATTTTTTTTCTACTTAGCAAAAAATAGTCTAATTATATTTTTTATTTTTATAACATGGTGGTCTTTAACATAAATATAGGAATATTAATTTAAAGATAGGGTTCATATAATGAGGCCATTTGAAATCTCTCTCTCTCTACTAACAATCTCTTCCACTAAATTAATTCTAGAAACCTAAAAAATTATATTTTTGAAAAATTAAAGTGTTATTTCAAAAATTGGTACGCATTCTAATAATTTCTACATTGATAACCAAATCCGGTATTTTATTTATTAATTTATTTGCATTATAAGCTATGTAATGTGCTATTTTAAAATTAGATGATATTATAAGATATTTTGGAATTGTTATTATTTGTATAGTAAAATAATTATAAAATATAAACCAACAATTTCAATTTCAGTATATAATATTATAGTTAGTTAGGTTGTAATAATTTGGGTTTTTTTTTTAATGGATTAGGGTTTTCTGCCAATTCAAGATTTTTGTGGCCATTTTTTCATTGATTTAATCCATTCTTTATTGTAGTCCATTGTATGATTATATGCTTCATCCATAATAATTCTATGATCTTTTTTTTGGGTGATGTAAATTTAATGGTTAACATAAATTCATACAAGAAAAGAACATCTCATTATTCGCATATTGATGAAAAAAAATGAAAGTTAAATAACGTAGTACCCCATTTCTTATTGGATTCCTAAAAAACAACATTTATAACGAATTTTAATAATTGTTTTGGATATTTTTAAGGCTGAATCCGATCGATTCCCGGTCCGGCTAGCCGATTCACCAATCCAAATGGGTTTTTGGGGTGCCCGATCCGGGGCACCGATCCGTTTTTTAAACCACTGGCTGTGAGACCAACTTTTCTTTCTGGCCAAAATGCTGGGCAGACAAAAAACACTACACCCATAAAATGAGTGTAGCGGAGATGAGCATGTTGAGATGGATGAGTGGCAAAATAAGAAGGGATAATATCCGAAATGAATCCATTTGGGAAAGTTTAGGTGTGGCACCAATAGGAAATAAGATGAGAGAGAGTAGACTTAGGTGGGCTAGCCATGTGTAGCATCGACCCTTACAGCATCTGTTAAGAGGCACGAGTTAGTTCAAGTGGAATGATTGAAAAGGGCAAGGGGTGGGTTGGCCCAAATGGACGTAGTTGGAAGTAGTTTAAAAAGATATGGGAACTTATGGCCTCACTGAGGGTATGGCTTTAAATAACGCAAAATGGCGGACCAAGATTCGTGTAGCCGACCCCAATTAATTAGGAAAACTCTATGATGATGATGATGACTGACTTGTAAAACAATAGAAAATATGAAAAAAATGAAAAAAGAGAAAAAAGGGAATAAAATTTAGTCAAAAACAATTCATGAATTCAAATTCGAAAAATGTAACACTTGAATTTCAAGGTCGATTCCTGATCTTCATGCTCAATGCTAATTGAAGCTTCAAATCCTTGCCAAATCAAAACACCCAAATAAATTTTCAATTATGACTTGGGATCTAGGAGATTCAAGGTTCTCAAAATTTCATATTAATAGGAAATCTAAAAATAAAATTTATAGTATCTTTTTTTTTTTTTGGAACAACTAGACCATGGTCGGACCAAGAACACAGAGATAAGGCCAGATTCAAATTTTAGTAAAGATCGACCATCAATTCGAAGAAATCGATCTTTTTCGAAATAAGAGAGAGGTGGCGGGGGGGACAATTTCTTCAATCCACAAATGCAAGAAACATAATAATTGTTTTCTCAAATCTAATGCTTCTAATTTATGGATCTAATGATTTTCTATCATACTTTGTAAATTTGGATCAAACCGACGGTTTTGGGCACAAATATGACTTATATTCTTAAATTGCAATGAACAGTAATCACCTACTCAGGTGAGTCTGCTTGAGCACCTTAGAGATGCGCATACTCCTCAGTATGGGCACCACAGCTCGCCTCGACAGGGCACCGAGACTTAGTTACTCAGCTGAGTCCGATCAACTTGGCTTAATTTTAAAACGCTGCGATACATAGATATGCCAAATGCATAAATGTAGTTACTTTTGTATGTTATACAGCCTCTCACTATGGCATGCATATATAACAGACACAAGGCATGATATTCAGATATAAGTTATCAAAGGAGTGACGCAAACCCAATGCCAAGGGGGGGTCGCTCGTCCAAGAGAATCCAGCAATTCATAGGTAATCACAAAGTTCCTTAGCCAAGATAACTATAGGAAAATGTATAAGTATATTCCTTGAAACATCGATCCACTTGACAGAATCGGGTTCTGGGGTAGATAATGCCAAAGCATAATTAAGATACCCCAATACAACAGAAAATTTAGGGGACCCCAAAAAATCTAGTCACCAAACATATAACAACTTTTGGTAAAAATCACATGAAATTATACTGCCTATTGGAAAAATAGGCAACTTTTTTATTATAAATGATAAATTAGGAAAAATTAAAAAAAATTTCCCAGTTTGAAGAACAACATGCTCACAAATAGTTCTCCACACTTAACTCTCCTACAAAAGCTTAAACTACCACTTACTCCTGAAGAACTACTGCAGTTTTCCATTTTGCTTTCCTCACTCCTCACTCCCAATAGCTCCTTTCTCAGTTTCTCTTGATTAGCATTGCTACTTACCACATCCCCTTCCTCCCTTTTGAAGATGTTCTCTTAATCCGCTTTGGTCTCAAAGACGTTCTGCCCTCCACCACTGCCACCAACTTCAAGCCTCCATAATGTAAGTTCCAATTGCACAGTTTTTTCTGTTGGATCCCAGACATTTCGCAGCACTTACCCAAGACAATCCAGGTGAGCAGCGGGATCTGACTTCCCATACCACTACAAATAAAATTTGAAGCACAACAATGCAGCTAAAACTTCTCTAGAACAATGTTATGGGCACCCATACAACCACAAAGAAATCCCACGAAGAGATCCCATTAGGATTGAAAGAATTTTTGCTGAAAGGAACAAACTCAAACTACTAGTATTAAATAAGGGAAAATATCTTTGTACACCCTCTTTTTAGGTTTCATTTCTCAACAGACCCAAAGTTTCAAAACATATCTAGCGGCATAAAGATCTTATGTATTATATCTTCTAACCCCTGGACCAACTTTATCCCTTTAACCCCATCTCTTTAGCCCAAACAAAAGTTCAAAATACATCTTTTTTTCTCTCTCTTCCTGTGTTTCTCCCCAAACATCTCTCCTTTTTTTCTAATATTAAAAAAAAGATATTTTTCAAAAGATATTCTTCTAATATTAAAAAAGGAAAAAAAGGAGAGTAGTTTGGGGAGAAACATGGGAAGAGAGAGAGAGAGAGAAGTGGTTTTAGAAAGGAATGGAAAAAAGTCTTTGGAACTTTTGTTTGGGTTAAAAAGATAGGGTCAAAGGGGGTCAAGTCCAGGCGGTTAGAAGATATAATATATGAGATCTCTATGCCGCCAAATATATTTTGAAACCTTGGGTATATTGAGAAATGAAACCTAAAAATATGGTGTATGGAGATATTTTCCCATTAAATAATAACTTCTGAGTTTAGTATTTAACTTTTCGCCTGTTAGTAATATATCATGAGCATCTGCTTTTTCTGGTTATAACACAGGAACTGAGCAATGTGTATTAATCATGAAATACAGAAAACATCACAAGTAGGCATGGATAGCAAATAATGACTTGTTCAAGAATAATATATGAAACACTCAAGACCAATATACAAAACACTGCCACAAAAATACTATTCTCAAATTATATGGTAAACATTTTCTTTTCTCATCAGACTATATGGTATAAAACAAATGATGCCTCATGATATGCCACAAAGTGGTCACGCGGAAGGATGATATGGACCCTCTCACTTACCCGTCCAAAACAAGCTTTAAGTGATGCACTAAAGCAGATACATGCCCAGTGACCTGCAGAAAGAATGAAAATCCAAGATAATTTTAGAACTCAAATCTTGTTTCATTATGTAAAGGAAGACAGAGCAATTGCAAGCAAACAAACCTGGACACGTGGGATTAGTTCAGTGAGAGTCTTGATAGCAGCACGCCTTATGTTGACCGCGGCATCAACCTTAAACAAGCGAATCAGCGCAGGAAGGAGTAGATGCATATGTTCATCCAAGTTCCCTGCAAAATTGTGAATGCCCAGTAACCACTTGCCGCTCTTTTGGCACATCATCATCAGAATATAACAAAGTAAGATACATGATGAAAAAAAATCTAAGAAGAAGTTGGTATACAAACCTCCAAATACTTCAAGAGTATGCAGAATATCAGGAACATAACTATAGTCATTACACCGTTCAGCATCACTCAATACTTGAATGCAGCAAGGAAGAATGTCAGGAAGATATGTCCTGAACTCATCATTCAATGCCAAGCAAAGTCGCTCTACAAGGTGAAGTATCTGACAAACGAACATCCCTTCCCAGTAAGTAGTAAGATGGCAAAAGAGAAGATGCACAAAGTGACATACCACTGTCCAAATAGGTGCCCCAAACCACCAGATACAGATAAATGCATATGAAAAAAATCTAAACCTACAGGTGAGCGTTGTGCAGTTCGATTGGTGGCTACAAAACCAAATGATGACCACAACTCAGATATAAGGGACAGTAGCTCAGGTAAATATTTTCGTATGTGCTGCAAAAAAACCACATGAGAACATCATAAGCATCCCCAGCAACTTCATTCGTAAATCTAAAAATTCTTATCATCAAATAGCAATTAGAATTCCACTATGTACCTGGCGCACAATAGATACCAAGGTTCCAAGCTTCCATGTTATGTACTCCTTCAGGCCTTCTTCACAGGTACGAATAATATGAAAAAGATCAGGCAAGACCTGTGAGATGAGAGAATGTTTAGATTCACAAAAATTTCACATCACCATTGAAATTTCACATCACCCAAAAGCAGTCTCAAACAAGCCATGCTCATTATACCTATATATACAGAAAACGGATTAGATGCTCACCCAGATAATACACACCATTAGAGTTTTAAAAGGTGGTATAATTCCAATAGATGTTCAATTCTATCTTCAGATCATTCCCATGGCAGCTTAAACCTCTACTAACAATATGCAAATTAATAATCGAGATTCTCAATAATGAATTTTGGGTAATGAAACTTAAGTGGACAATGATTCTGCTTTACATTCTTCTTCAGACAGTAACGAGACAAGAAAGCTCCCTGACTTAAACAATTCTATGATTGTGAAAATGAAGGGTTCAGATTTAAAAATACAGAACCTACAAATTTGACTGTCCCAAAAACAAATATAGAGCGGCAAAAAGCAAGATTACCAAAGCTATAAGACGCAAGGGATTTAGACATAAAAGTATAGGATTAATGGTTCCTGCTATCTTCCATTCTTCTAACAGAGACCCTGCAATCATTTTTTTTTGGTCAGGAATCTAGCTGAGTTCCTAACAGAACCAAGGATCCATTGGACAACTGAAACAACTTATAATCCCAGTTATTCATAGCTGATTCCATTCAATATCATATCCAAGAATGAATCGTATTAATAAGTATCATATCCAGGAATGAATCATATTAAATAAGTATCAAAAAACAACAACAACAATTGTATGTTGAAATGGGAATCGGAGATGCATTGATGGATTTGAGAAAATGAGGATGTGCTGATTAGCCACAATGAGTTATATTTTCTCTAATATACAATATCATTCTGACTGAGTGTATGACCCTTGAAAGAGAGGAATGGCGGAACAAGATTCGTGTAGCCAACCCCAAATAGTTGGGATAAGGCTTGGATCAAGATTCTGGAAGAGGCCACTTACTTTTTACCCAAATTAAAAGTATCTAATGAAGTCCCAATTAAAATGTACCAAAAATATATATAAGGAAATAAAAGAATAAACCTATCACAAGAAATAGTTCAAACTCACCTTGGGCAAGTAAGGAACACATCCAAGGCCCATTGACTGAAGGCCAAAAAAAAACAGAAAATGTCAGAATGACTTAATATGCAAATCAGCTTAGATAGTAATCAAAGAAATACGACATAATAATTAGAAGAAACAAAAGTAACATGGACATACCTTGAATATGAACATAAGAGAGCGAACCACCTCATGGTGATAACTGGAGAGTGAGGGATCTCGAAGAATACGCATAAGTGAATTAATGGCCACCTAGTCATTTAATAAAGTTAATGTAACAGCAATATGTTACGAAGATCAAATACCAGGGCTATGTTACTCAAACTTACTGTGGAATAGTAATCTTCAGAAGTTGCAAATGATGGCCACAAATCCATTGGCAATTCATCCATCGACCTTATATGCTGACTAGTGTCAGTTGATGCACGCATAACTTCCCCATGTGAACCTGGCAGGGCTTGTTGATTGCGTTTATGAGTATGGGGATCCAAAGCACCCATAATACCCAAAACCTAGATTGAAAACACATGAATAGATGATCAGCCACGAACTACATATGCAATGTACACAAATATAAAGTATAGGCTAGTACCTTCAATACTTCTCGTCGTGTTGACCATTCCAACTCACCATTCAACAATCTCAAAAGCAAGCCAAGCAACTGTGGATACTCATTGTATGGAGTGATAACATAGCTGTCAATCAATAAAGACATTAAAAACTCAACCTAAAGTAATAAAAAAAAGATTACTACCAATATATTCAATGTAATAACCAACAAAAATTAAATGCAATGGATCACAACAATCTCCTCTAAATAATTAAATAGGCTTGAAGGCCGAAAAGCATGCCATTCTATGGCTCAAAAAGGTCCAATACCCTATGATTAGGAAAATGCTTAATGCATGAGCTTATATATTTCAAAACTTGACACCCCAATATTTCATTCTAAGCAACAATAGGAAAATTGATAATGAATGAGATGAAGATTGAGTAAAATAAAGGCTTGGATAGGATAAACACAGTAAGTAACGAAGCCAGAGACTCAAAACCACATCCTCAAAGTAAAGAACATGAGGATTGCAATCTGTGGTAGGTCGGTCATGGTCTAACAAGGGGCAGAGCCTGAAGATGTCAAAGGTTGAAATTCCATCGCAAGGTTGAAACTTGGAAAACCCATTGGGATTATTTGAAATAGTGGACTTCCTGGAGTAAAAAAGAATTTACTAAGGACACAGGATCTCTGGACTGGGGGTCACTGTGATGCCTCATCCAGTGTCATGAATATTAGAACTCTGAAAATCTTCATGATTCGAGAAGCCTACAGACATTTGTAAAGCAGATTACAACTGTATTTGGAAGCACAGCAAGGCTACACAGCATGACCATACCCAAGAGGTTGGTAATTTGATGAAGTTGTCATGTACATATACAAGGGAAATCTTCAAAATGAAATCATCAATAAATGAAACAATGTACTAAAGACGAAAAAAGATAAATTCGAGGGTTTTTTTGAAGAAATAGATAAATTTGAGGTTAAGCACCAAACATATTAATGAAGCAGGTCAGAAGTTCATCAAATGGTAAAAAACAAAAATACTCTAATTAGAGATATGATCCATTTCGCATGCTAATAATTTCCTTTAGTGAAACAATTTGAAGAATAACAATCAAACTGAACACTGCTTCCAATGGTTGTCCAAACCACGAATAACATAACTCACTCAGGGCGGCAATGAATGGCTCAAATTAGCTTTACGAGGTTCAGCCAGGCCATGCATCTCCTTGAATTCTCATCAACAGGGGCCCTAATAATGATGCAGCCATGATGGGACTGGGGGCCCTAATAATGATGCAGCCATGATGGGACCGGGGGCCCTAATAATGAAGCAGCCATGATGGGACCGGGGGCCCTAATAATGATGCAGCCATGATGGGACCCAAATCTTTGCGAGACTGGGGACAAAGAGGAAAGTTGAATTGTTAATTGGGTAAATGGATTTTGGGTTTCCTAAAGTTGTATGCATCAATTCTTTTAGGATATTATTTTTGGCTAATCTCACAAGTTTTGGGAAGATATGTGTTTTGAGACTTCTAATTTGAGATTATTCCTGTTTATTTTAGCCTCTAGTTATTTAGTAATTTCGAGTTGGATGGTTGGTGGAGGTTATATGTAATGAAGGACTGGGATTTCCTAGGGATTATTGGATTATTAGAGTTTTATATATTGAGTAAAGAGCTATTTTAGAGAGAGCAAAGGGGACTTTTAGACTTTTTAAGTATAAAGATGAGATGGATAAAATGCAATGAAGGGCAGTTCTGTACTTTATGTATTTCTAGGTGGTTTACATATTGTAAAGTCACTCACAGTAATGCAGTGTCATCAAGATCGGATGGGTCATTGAACTAGTGAGGAGTCTGGTCCAGTCAAAACTGGGGTCCGACGACTGGTCAACCGGTTTTTTCGGATTTTGAACATAGTAAGAAAAAATGAATAATAGTTTAAAAACAAATACATTAGAAAAACATTTAACCCCTTTGTTTGGCCAATTGAACCGCGCCAAAACCCAGCCAAAACCGGCCAAATACCAGTTTTTACTAGCCTTTACCATACCTAGATTTTACGTTGGACCAGACCAGCCAAGGCACCAGTCAGGGGTCCAACTGGTCAAACCGTTGGTTTGCTCTGGTCTTGATAATTATGTTC